TAGTTATTTACTGTTTTAGCTAGTTATTTACATGTTTTAAGCTAGTTATTTTACCTGTTTTAAACTAGTTATTTTACCTGTTTGAAACTAGTTATTTTACCTGTTTTTAGCTAGTTATTTTACATGTTTTAAGCTAGTTATTTTACCTGTTTTTAGCTAGTTATTTTACCTGTTTTTAGCGAGCTATCTTACCTGTTTTAAGCTAGCTATTTTACCTGTTTTAAACTAGCTATTTTACCTGTTTTAAACTAGTTATTTTACATGTTTTAAACTAGTTATTTTACCTGCTTTAAGCTAGTTATTTTACCTGTTTTAAACTGGTTATTTTACCTGTTTTAAGCTAGTTATCAATCAATTATATTAAATTTTCTTTTGCTTAGCCTACCATTTTACCCCCAGAGAGAAATTTGAAGAAATGATCACATCTAATGAGTTTTTAGAACATGCAGAATTTTCAGGGAATCTTTATGGAACAAGGCAAGTATAAAAGTCAGGGTTCGCTGTTATGGGGGGTTGATTTGAGTATTGAATATATGTAAATAGTCTTCAGAAATACTAGAAATGTACAAAAATCATATAATTCCTTCAAAAATATCTCAAACTGGGAATAGTTAACTTAATCTAGTACTTGTGTACGGTACTTAATTATTATCTTAGTTAATTGCTTATTGTAGTGCTTCTTTATCACTAATCTATAATATTATTTGTTTAAAGTACTAGAAATGTACGAAAAATCGTATAATTCCTTCATAAATATCTCAAACTAGGAATTTTACTCACTATTTCTATAGATGTCTTTTCTATATATCACAGAGTCTCAAGAAAAGACGACTCGTCTTATTAACTTTCAAACGTAGATAATTCTGAACACATGTATTTGAAGGCTCAAATTTCGACAGTGAACTATGAACACTATTACTGATTAGCTTAGCTAAAAAATTCCTGTTTCTGAGACTAAGGTATGATTAAAACTGATAGTGAACCTGTCTTGTTAATATCATGATGTATTTATATTTTTCAGTAAGAAATCAGTGAATGATATATCAAACTCTGGTAAAATCTGTATTCTAGATGTTGAAATTAACGGTGTTAAAAGTATTAAAAAATCAGATTTACAACCGACACCACGATTTGTTTTTGTTAAACCTCCTAGTCTAGATATTTTAGTAAGTATTGTGTAAATGTGATTCTTGAAATATATGTTGAAAGAGTATGTTATTTAATTGTATACAAACCAGGTTTTGATTCTGAAATTGAAAATTCACAGTAATAAGAATAGTATAATATGATGTAATATTTATAGAAAGACAGGTTAGTAGGTAGAAAAACAGAATCAGATGAAAGTTTACAGAAACGACTAGACACAGCTGAAGAAGCTTTGAGTTATGGTAGGTTTTTTATATTGTTTTAAATATTGGTTGGAATCCAGGAGAATCCTGGTGGACTCTCACAAAGACTGGTGCCATGGCTATATACAGTATATTATATAACATACAGTGTATCTTTGTATGTGTGTCTTTTCAACTAAAATCATATACTAATGACTAACTAATGTTCACATAATTAATAGACTTATCTATTGCTCTGTGACCTAGGCCAGTGCTTTCATTGAGACTCGTCTCAAAACACCCTAACACAAAGATAGTCTGTGAGAATGAAATTTAAATATACACTGTATTGACGGACAAATTGAAATGATTTTTCACGAATCCTACAAGACTCGAGTATCGAGAATCGAATGCGATTGAGAGACTCACGTGAATTTTTAGTAGATTTGTGTATGACTTCATTTTTATACAAATTCTTCTACAAATCCTTGCTTCACTCTATGAAAAAAAGTTTAGTTTCACTTCCAAAATGTAGGGTAGGGTAGGATAAAGGTGAGAATAGACCAGGTGTGGTGTCCGCTGAGAGATTATCAATACAATGGAAAAAAGAAGAAACGAACCGTGTCCCGACCCATACCTCGTGTGTTCACTTCTATTTTCTACTGTTTCCTACACCGCACATCTTCTATTCGCAAAGTAACAAGGTTACAAGGTCAAAGGTTAATAATAGTCTTGATTTTCCAGCTGATGAAGAAGGTTCGTACGATCACATCATAATCAATGATAATATAGACGAGGCCTACAAACAATTTCGTGATGTTTTTAAAGAGGTATGATAAAATGTATTATATTATTAAAAGGGGGGTGGGAAAAGGGGGTTGGGAGAGGATGAATGGAATTTGTATCTTTCAGCAATTCAATAGTCAATGACTAGACCCATCGCTTTGATTAGATTCCACGCTAGCGATCCTTCGATAGAAAATCAATATTATGGCTTATTGTTTACAGTATTTCCTTTGACGCCTATGATTGGCTGTATTCGATAGCAAACAAACCAATCAAAGAAATATTATATTTTGTATTTTACAGGATTTAAAATCTCTGAAGAAACAATAAAAGGAAGAAATTGTGCTCAGTTATAAAATAAAATGTGGGTTTTAAACTTGGGGTTATGTTAGTGAGATAGTTTATATTAGCAGATATAATCTCTATTCTATTATAAAATACAGATCTCGACTTTTTCTTGGTGTTTTTTTCTGTAGTCGACTCCACTTGCCATGAGTGATCTGACATTTTGTTATGCAACACGTGTTCAAGGTCATTACAATATTCAACCAATCAAAAACACTCTTCAGTAAAAGATGTGATTTTTGTACATTTCTAGTACTTCTGAAGACTAATTACATATATTCAAGACTTAAATCAACTTCTGGAAATGGCGTTCCATGGCCTTTAACAGCGTTTTTGATTGGACGACCTACATAAGATGTTACAGGTCAAAATTCAACTGAACAGCATAAACAAAAGAATTTAATCGGATCATAGATTGCGAGTGACAAAAGACACGGAACAAAATATCAAGATCTGTATTTTTCGTCCAAAGAAGGAACTTTCTATCAACGATTAATTGTTATCTTTCATATTGTTACCGTCTTAGTTTTAATATCTTTTTCAATTAGTAGATCTGAATATGTTTTTCTATTATTTAAGTTCAGATATATTTTGAACTTTGACCTGATGACCTTATGACCTTTTGTCTACAGATCATTCAATATCATTGTTAAATTATATTTTTTGCAACAAATTGCCGTTTCTCGAGATTAACTGATGAAAACATAATTTTAGTCATCTTCACAATGTCAAGACATTATTTTGACTACTGCAGTCAAGGTATAAGAGGAAATGAGTAATATCTTGACATTGAGAAGATACAAGAAAAGTGGCTACTGCAGTCAAGGTATAAGAGGAAGTTTGTAATGTCTTGACATTGTGAAGATGAATATCAGTAATATTTTGGTCTAATGGGTAATTAATATGTTTATTATAATCTTGAATTAAACTAGGGCCATTGTCTCAGATATATCTTTAAGTCCATTTTAAAAGGTTTTCAACATATTTTATGTGTA